CCGGGCGATGCTGGCCGGAGCGTGTGGGTTGGGCTGACCCACGGCGTCCCTGGCGCTGAGGGCTTCACCCGGAGGAGGTCGGGGAGTCAGCTTTGCGTCTCTGAGTCGCGGGTTTGTTCTTTACCTTTGCAGCTTCTGCTCCCGAGCCGCGTGACAGCAGTCGTCAGCCTTCAGAGCAGAGCCCCGTGCTAGGCTGCGTGCCGTAGATAAGAGCAGGCTCCCAGTAATCTTCTGGTGGTAATATTAATGCTTGAAGCGGGCGGTAGTGGAAAAAATAAATCTTAACAGGTATGCTGAGATGGCAGACTGGCTCCTCCAGATTTAGCGCTTCTAAAATCTGATGTGGCACGAAAAGCTCCCGGCGTTTTTGTGTGTGAAACTTTCATGTGAAACTAGTCCAGCTGCACAGCTGTGATAGAGCTGAGTTTTATCTTCTGGGTGAGAGGAAAACTCAAGTGAAATAAGGCTGCGGTTTTCTGTTTAGCATATGGCAGGTGGTGTAAAGTCGGCAGCTGCAGGGTAAGATGGAGACAGTGATTGTCCTGGTAATGTTAGGGATACCTAAGTCAGTGAAAAAGTAAATAAAATAGGGAATGTGAATTCGGTGAGTGACTGCACTAAATGCTAAAAGACGGTCTGAAAAAAACCTTAGGTAGACAGCGAGGACGAGGAGTGCTGTGTCGAGGCATTGCAGTCTGATTTGTTTGTTCCACAAATGCAGACTAACTCAGTGCAATAACTGTCAATGCAGGGTTTTAATACTTAAAACTGAAGAGACTTTCTTTTAGGTGTAATTCCAAGAAAACACGTAGAGGTCTGCTGTTTTATACTTGAGAAGTCTGATGGTTTCTTTAACTATAGTGATAGTATTTCTTTTGATGTCATCATTGTATAGTCTGGGTTTGGTTTTGTGTTTGATTTTTTTTTTTTTAAGGCTTCTTGGTAAAGCTTAAAAGGGAAATTTTGGGATATAAATGCATATGACACAGAGATAGATTTCTTGGTTATTATAGAGACTTTCTTTCACAAAATAAAAACTGCCGTGTAAACTGAATTTCATCAGTTAATCTACTAGAATACAGCACAATTTTGTTTGGTGGCATAAGTGAATAAAGTAAACAAACGATGCACAGAAATCAGCAAATATGCTGAAGAATGCATAGACTGGATGGAAATCGTGGGGCGATGCTACTGCAAGTCATAGGCCAGTGCATTCTGTCATGGAATATTTGTTACAGTAATATGCAGTAAAACTAGAAATGCGATGAAAAATTGAGTGGAAAAGCAGCCCCTTGAATACTTCCTAAAAGCTCTTTTTAGGAGGTTCTCGGTATTCAGAAAGCAGTTTGTTTGTGGAAGCTGTGTCAGAAAGGCAGCAGGGGTTCTGCTCAGTGTTCTTCTGTCCTTTTCCTGAGAGATGGGACATTTAGGGGCAGGAAAGCATCTCTCTCTTTCAGTTTTGCCAAGAAAACTGTGTCACAGTGTGATGGGGGGCGGTGTAGCGTAGCGAGGGCAGTCAGTTGTATTAGCCTAGATGCGTTCGTTGGCATAGCTTATGATCCTGAAACGAGCTCTGGTAACAGCAGGACTCTCGTGGTTGTCTGTAAGAGGAGGTGCTTGTGGTACATCTTAGTCCTGGCCTTGATGACAGCCGTGAAGCTCTGAAGTAAGCAGTGGAGTCGTGAGGTCTTTTGGGACCATCAGTTCTCTCAGCTGTGCGGTTTTAGGAGGTTTCTGAGTGCCCCTCTGTTCAAAGTGCATTTGATTAACGGAACCTATAGAGTTCCCTTCCGTTACTTTGGGGTAGAACGAAGAACCGGTAACAGGCTGTACTGTCAATCTGCCTTAACGCCAACCGCAGTCCTTCAGATCGTGAAGGAGTCGCAGCAGCAGCACGGTTTACGACACGGAGACTTCCAGAGGTACAGGTTAGTAAACGGTGTGGGCGTCTCGGAGTTACTAGTGTGACTTGGTTTACTTTAAAACGTAAACCCACTGTAGCAGGCAACAAAAACTATCTGCCAAGTAAATACTCCTTGATGAGTTGCTTCATGTGAAGCAATGTATTTTTTTTTCCTTCATTAGACGTAATGTGCTGTGACTGTTCCATTTCGGAGGATGCAGGCTGGCTCTTGTTTCTCTGTTGCCCTTTGAGAGCTTGTTTGTTAACACCTTGCTGATAATCACTGTGTTCTTCCAGAACTGAGTTTTTAATAAATGTACAGAAAGCAATTGGACAGCAAGGAGAACATCATTCTGATTTTTCAAGATTATTACATGTCTTCTTACCTTTCTTGTATTCTATTAACCACTGGTTTACAGGTAGTTTCTGACCTACCTCTTACTGTATGTCACATATGGAGTTCATAGTTGTTAAAACGTTGCCTGTCACAGCCTTTAGTCCTTTTTTTTTCCTGGTTGGAGAGAGCAATAAACAGAAACAAAGTTGTTCTTTGGCCAAGCTGACTGTGGTCGTCTCTTCTTTAGGGGTTATTGCTCCCGTAGGCTAAGGCGGCTCCGAAAAACTCTCAACTTCAAGATGGGAAACAGGCACAAGTTCACCGGGAAGAAAGTAACCGAAGAGATTCTCTCAGACAACAGGTACGGTCACTGGATGGAATCGGGCATTCAGTATGTTAGTGAGTAGTTTCTTTCATTTGAGTAATTTAGGTTCATGTGGGTGTGGTGGAAACCTGTTCTGCGCAATGTACTCAGAAGAGTTTCTTTGCAGTGCAGGGGGAAGAGGCACTGCTCAGATCCTGCTTCATCATGGGAACAAGTGGGAGAAGAGGGAGCAGCAACAGCCAGTTCCTTCTCTGCCCTCATAGTTGTTAAAATGGGTTCTTTTCATAATCAGTAAATTTGATTCAGTATCAAATCAGTAAAAGAGGAAATGCGTATTCAGATCTGTTGCAAGGTAGCCATGTGAGTGCTGATAACGTAAATGGTGTAGCCGGCAAGGTTGTGGTTGGAGACATAATGCCTTCCCTTTGAACAGAAATACTGGATTGCAAGTTTTACTTAGATTTTCAAAATTTGGCAGAATGCTTGTCTGACAGAATATGTGGAGAATAACCAGGACCGTGGACTCATTTCCCAGCTTTTAGAAACGCTTGGAAGGTCTGCTGTCTCGTCTTTTCTTGTGGGAAAAAGAAATGATGTCTTCACCTGTACTGTTAAGAAGCCAGATGCATTATAGCATTAGCGGGTGGGAAAACAGACATATTTACCCGTATTCAACCAGTTTGAAGTGCGACTTAAAATCATAAATCCCTTTGTCTTCACGTCTGTGGTGCTACACAGCGATACCAAATTCTCTTCCTCAGTTGGATGATTACACTTCTGTAGTGAGAAATACAGTAGAAAAGAGTTAGGGGTAAGACGACTTTGTGTGCTTAGAATGTTAAATAAAAGCATCTACGTCTTATTAACCAAACCAAGCTTTTGTTACCAAACTTTGGAGATCACATGGCAAAGAACTAGAGGTAATGTGGTAATTCTTGTTTGAATGTCATCACTTTTCCGTTAATCTTTGTCTGCCCCCCAGGTATTTGCTGTTGATTCTGATGGATGCGGAGCGAGCCTGGAGTTACGCCATGCAGCTGAAGCAGGAAGCAAACACAGAACCTCGCAAACGATTTCACTTGCTGTCTCGCCTGCGCAAAGCTGTGAAACATGCCGAGGAGCTGGAGCGACTGTGTGAAAGTAACAGAGTGGATGCCAAAACAAAGCTGGAAGCTCAGGTAACTGCTGACGCTTTGATCTCGTTTTACAGCAAAAGCTGAAAAAAACCCCTTTGGATTTTGGGTGAAGAGATTATTCTCATCTGGCAGTAGGTAATCAAAATTGACTGATTCTCGAACCGGGTAATGGCTTCCGTTGAATAGCTTGGACTTGCTGTTAATGCAGCTGCTGGAATTGCAGAAATAACCAGTGGGAGCAGCCAAGATGAGGACCTGGTGTTTAGAAGTTGATTAAGTGTATCAAATGGTTGTCCTTGCTTTGAAGAGCAGCACGTTTAATAAACGTAAAAAGAGAGAGACTAAGATGATGCAACGCAGCCTAAGAAGCTATGCTTATCTGTTGAGTTACCTATTAAATGCCCTAAAGCAGCCACCCAGAACACAGACTTGTGGCCTGGGTTTCTGGAACACAGAAAGCAACTGTGTTGTGACACCAGCCTCTTTGAACAAGGGGCTGCAGTGGAACGCAGTTGATGAAAATGGCTGTTTCGTAGCTTATTGCTGGAAAAAAAAAAAGTTTTGTGACATTAGTGGGCCATGTTGATTGCATAACAAGCACGAAACATCTTTGCTTTCATCTCCTTAGAAATGTAGCAATGTCAGTTAAAAGGAAAAAAAGTAGGTAGCTATAACCCATAATCCAAATCAGTTGTTTCTGTGGGAAGACAAAATGAAAAGGGCAAGGCTTAATCACTTACTGTAGGCGTCGCAGCAGCCTTTGTGCTAAAGATTGCACAAACTAAGCTGTCGGTCTTGGGGAAATTAACTTGCCCTTGCGCTGTCTGCAGGCATACATGGCTTACCTCACAGGAATGCTTCGCTTTGAACACCAGGAGTGGAAGGCAGCAATGGAGGCTTTCAACAAATGCAAGTGAGTTTCCCCACTTCACCAGCTTCATTTAGTAAATAGTATTGGATCGGTCCATTAAGTTTATATCCTGTATGTTCGGCAGCTCTGCGAGTTGTTTAGTTGATTGTGCACTTAACTGGGAGGTACTACTGAAGAAATAGCGTCCTCCAGAGTAGAGAGACAAACTCTTCCTGTAAGATAGCATCTCACAAAGCGACACATACTGCAGTGTTAATATTTACTCTTTGCTGTAGGACCATATATGAAAAACTGGCCAATGCTTTCACAGAAGAGCAAGCTGTACTGTACAACCAGCGTGTGGAAGAGATCTCGCCCAACATTCGCTACTGTGCCTATAATATTGGTAAGGAAAGGGGGTTACCTAATCTGCAACAAAGAGCCAGGCTTGTTCACAGGAAAGGAATATTGACTTGATAGTTAAATACTGGTCTAAGCGACATTGCAGTGAGTCTGTAGTATTTTGGGACAAATTCTGCACACGTTCTGGGTCAGTTTAGCAGTGGAGAAATATACTTATTTTGCAACAGTGCATGTGGTTTCGTGTAAAAAGACAAAATGCCAGTTTGCAGTAGCTTGCTTATGAAGTCAGAAAGAAATTGCAAATTTATCCCCTTTGTCCGCAAATTGCCAGTATAAAATCTATCGATTAGCTTTTCTACATTAAAATAATTGGTGAACTCCGATGGAAATGTGATCTTGATTTGTTAATTCTCTCAGGTGACCAGTCTGCTATAAATGAGTTGATGCAGATGAGACTGAGGTCTGGTGGCACTGAAGGTCTTCTTGCAGAAAAACTGGAGGTAACTTATTTGCATTCTTCAAGTTGAAGCATTCGTTGTCACTCTGTTGAGCGCAAATATTGCTGCAGCGCACCATTCAAGGGCCAAAACGTATCAGAAGAGAGCAAGCAAGCCTGGGTTCTATGGGGAACCGCACTTTCCTGAAAAGCCCTTTCATTTCAAAATAGTCAAGCCTAATGTGAATTTGAAACATTCAGTTTTGGATACCTTAAAGTTCAAGCTCTTAAGTTCAGTCCGTTCTCTACAGGCACTGATTACCCAAACTCGAGCAAAGCAGGCAGCCACAATGAGCGAGGTGGAGTGGAGAGGAAGAACTGTTCCGGTGAAGATAGACAAAGTGAGGATCTTCTTGTTGGGGCTGGCCGACAACGAAGCAGCAATTGTTCAGGTAACCCAGAAGCCATCTCCGGTGCCAGTGTTCTGTCCTCTTTCCTTCGATGTGCAAGATAATACATGATACCTGGGCGAAAACCTTTTGAATACGTGTTTTCTCAAACTGGGGGTTGGAAGGCTAAAAGTAAAAGTGAGGGTATTGACCGTAAGCCAGAGCTGAAGCGTCAGCTGGGGATAGCTCCCGCAGTCTCCTCGGTGGCAGTCTGGGAGATCTGTTCTGAGTGTTCCTGCTTTTGTGAACGCTCTGTGCTGCACAGAAGAGCTGCCTTTCAGTGGCAGGGTGGTAACCGTTATTATTTGTAAGTCACTTGGAAGTGAAGGTTACAGTTTTAAGAGTAACCGGTTTTGAATTACTGTTCTCATTTCTTTAAGTATCTTGCTCAAATGCTCCAACTTCAGAGCAACCAAAAGAAGAGAGATATGTATCGATCACCTTTTTTCAGCAATAAAAAGCAATTTGCCAGGTGAAACAGGTGCTATGAGATCTGTAGCATTCTCTTCTCGGCTTACGCAAATCCTCAAAAGCAGGAAGAGGGTTACTAAATGTCAGGATGTAAATGAATTTCACAGGTCAGAGTTCTGAAACGCTTGCAGTGGCTCACACTATGCATGTCTTCAGTATTGCAGCCGAGTTTTCCACATGGAGCTTTTTCCTTGGAAATGGTGCCCAGGTGGTGTATTCTGCTTCCCAGTGGCTGCGTACGGCACCCTCGCTGTTTGAAAAGGCAGCGGAAGGATCTTTAGTGACAATTGTTGCCGCTAAAGATGGGCTTTTTGCAGCATCAAAAAGCATTTACCACCAGGAGGAGGATGATGATAAACAGAAATTTAGATGATGAAATGAAAACCCTGCAAAGGTACGAGGCAAGAGCAGGAGATAGTGTTAAGGAGACAGTGTGAGTATGATAAACAGGCTAGGGCTGGGTAGGAAACCTTAGCGTTAACCACTCTAGTCATAATGTTATGAATTGCATGTTGCTGAATTTCTTTCTTTGCGGGTAGTACGTTAGCGTGGCCAGCAGGTGGAAGCGCAGCTTGGAGTTCAATATTCCCTCCTGTAATTTCCATCCTGCCAGGGTAGCAGTTGGACCTTTTCGGTTTAGTTGCCCTCTTTGTTCCATAAAGCTGTGGCAGAGCAGTGATCTGAATTTGATTTCGTCTTGCTTTGTGTTCCTTGGAAGCTCTGACTGAACAGAGGAGTTTTGTGGTACTGGATCACAGCTAGTATTGGTGAGAGCTGGGCGCACAGCAGCAGTATTTACATTCCCAGAGGGCTAAAGCTTGGCGTTCTGAAAGCAGCTCTGCAGTTGCTGTGTCAGCTGTGATGGGCAGTCCAGCTTCAGCTAAATGTACTGTGGTCCCTGGGATCTTTGGCACCTTTCTGCTGGTCTTCACTAAGTTGAAACCCTACCATAACAGCAGTGCTCTTCAGGGTTTGATTAGAAGCAAACACAACTCCGTGTTTTGTGTAAAAATGGAGATTCTCAGCAAAATTATATCGGTCTTCAGTGTCATATTGGTAACGGGAGAAACAGAACAAATAAGCCAAACTGAAAGATGGATCCAAGTTTAAAATTACTTATGTTGGCCCTTTTGTAGACTTGAATGCATGACTTCAAGGGCCCGTTGACTCCAGCCAGGTAGAAGCGAGAAGGCTAAAGGGCAGAGTGACGGAAGCGTGCTCCTATCTGGTATTGCCTCAGGGATTCTGTGGTCATCTCTGGTAACTAGGACCGTAGCAAAAATTGGTGGTAATAACTTCCAGAGATGATACACAATGTTTCAGAACAAATTAAAAATTACGAGTGAGCACTCCTAGACTTTCAGAATTGGGTTCAGTGGGATCAGTTCCCTGGATCCCTTTACGACCGAACCTGTGCTGTTCTGTCAGGGCATCTGAATCACCAGTCGTAGCACTTGCATCTCAGTTTTATGATCTGATGTCTCCCAAATCAGAACATAAGGGTATTTACACATAGAATCAGTTTAACCTTAGGAGTTTTTGCTTAGAAAGGAAAGCCTTTGTTTCGTTGCACGGCCCAGCCCTTTCCCTGTTTGTGCTTGACTGATGATCTGGCCATGTCTGTCTTCGTTTTTGTGCATACAGTGAAATTGCTGTGCTCCTCTGGGTGAGGTTGAGAATGCTGTCAGACTCGTCTCTGGTTATTCTCAGTAGTTAGTCCCACCTTAAAAATTCTTGCAGCAAATCTCGGAGAGAAAAAAAAAAAAACCAAACCCAAAAAACTGCCTTCATCTCGGGTCAAGAGGCCTGAGGCTTTGTGTGGGAGTAAAAATGACATTCCTCAGTGGGTTTGCAAACCTGAAAAGAGGAGAGGCAGAGACTGTAGAGCTCTGCTGAAGATAAACAAGCGAGCGTGTTTTTAGACAGTTTTCTATTCATTTGGACAATTGCAAATTTGTTGCAGCAATGTTCATCTTATGCTGTTACGTGACATGGAAGTGGTATAACACAGTGCTGATACGCTCTAATCCCTCCTTCGATTGCTAAGGTTGAGGTTTGTTTCTGGGCAGTTTTCTCTTACTGAGTCCGGAAGAGCCTTGTGATCCCCGTCCGGTTACCTTCTCGGTCACCGGAATGGCAGCTGAGTTTGGGCTTGGGTACGCTGTTTAATTGGGTATGTGATATGCCAGTCCATCAGGCAGAGAGCGGGCTTCAACTTGTTTTTCAAAAGTTGCTTTCAAATTTTGGTTTTGGGGCAAAAGGCCAAAAGCTGCTCCACTTTTTTGACAAAACTTGTGGTGGCAGCAGAAAAGCACTCAGTCACTCCTGCTACTAAAATACAGGGTTACTTTAAAAAATGCTTCAAACAAGCAAATTAATGCCACTGAGAGCATTACTAGAGTGGGAGTGTAGAAAAGATAACCATCTGCGTGTTCTTACCACATGAGGAAAGTTAAATCAGCATAACAAGAGCAGGCTACCTTGGTAGTTTGCCAGTTCAGTAACGCTCAGCTCTGCTGTTGCTGGGCCTTTCCCACAGTGCAGTCCAGCCTCAGCTGTTCGCGGAGCAGTGCGGGTGCCATCCGGGAAGGGAGTTGCTGAGAAGGTGGCTGTTGCAGGGATGAGGCGATCAGGGCTGTGTGCGCTAGGCCTTCAGTGCTGCAAAATTCTCAGCACTGACCACGTTCCCCGCAATTTCTGTCAGTTTGCCCCCGGCACATACTGCAGACAGGTACAGACTGGACTTCTGGCTAGCCATGGGTCTTAAAGCCATAATCTGGGAGAAACACTGTTTAATCTCTGCAGTTAGTTCTTGAATCATGGGATGCAAAATACAAAAATTTCTAATAGATATCTGTCTTAACTTTCCTTTGCTCTTAGGCAGAAAATGAGGAGACAAAGGAACGTTTGTTTGAATCTTTACTCAGTGAGTGTAGAGATGCCATTCAGGCTGTTCGAGAAGATTTGAAACCAGACCAGGTAAGCAGCAAACATCAGTGTTTCTACTTTCACCAACATAGTGTTTCTTTGGGACTGATTTGCTACTGTTAAACTTGCTTAACAGTAAAAGTGGCTGGGATTTCTTTAATAAAAAGCTGCAGAAGAGTCTATTGCCTCTGATTTTATTCTCTTCAGAACTGGAGAGGGTGCATAGCAATGTAGAAGCCCTCATTCTCTTGCCAAAAGTCTCTTATAATTTCCCTGGTTTACCCAAAGCTTGAGGTTTTCTTCCCTCACCTGCCAGTTTTCAGTAATTCATGCAGCACTTTGTCCCCAATTCTTGCAGAAGCAACGGGAACACGCTCTGGAAAACGATTCTGGGAAGGTGTCCAACATCCAGTACTTACACAGGTAATGGGCAAACATTGCTGCCGGTACTGGTGCGAAGAAGTCATGCTCTTATGTCAAGATTTTATTTTTGTTTGGTTTTGTTTTATGGGGGTTTTGTTCTGGGCCTCTGAGATCTCAAAGAATGGCCGTACAGATAAGGATCTGATTCATGCAGCTTTGAAAGCATTTTGCTTAAGACTCTCGTGTTGACCTTTCAGATGTTTTTTCCCCTACTAGCATCAGCTTAGACTGGGGGGAGGGTTTTTTTCGGAACAAAGATGAATGTCTGAGTAGTTCTGGCAGTCTGCTAATGGCATTTTATCTTTTATCTTTTTAGTTATTTGACTTACATCAAGCTGTCAACAGCCATCAAGCGCAATGAAAGCATGGCAAAGTCTCTGCAGAAGGCGCTGCTGCAGCAGCAGCGGTCAGAAGAGGATGGCAAGCGCACACCACGGCCTCAGGACCTGATCCGTCTTTACGATATCATTTTGCAGGTAATGCTGGGGAAACAAATCTAATTCTTCATACTAACTGGAGAACTTTGGTACAGAAGGCTCTTGTAGAAAATACAGTAGTGCAAGTGAACTGCCCGTGAAGTCTAAAGAGCAGCTCAGTACCTACAGTAACCTTGTTGAAGATGTTCAGCCTCTACATGAAGCACAAAGAAATCCTTTTAGCTGTGAACAGAAAAAGCTGCTAGAATGGTTGCCCTTGGTTTTACACTCTAATGCAGTTTTAAAATAGTTTTTCTGACTATTCTGTGCAGCACTCTGCTAGCTGCCTTATTTTCTGCTGGCCAGAAAAAGTAGCAGCTAAAAATACTTAAAATGTCCTTCCTCATAAGCAGTTTCTCAATTTCTCACATAAATTTTCAATTAACTGTGGGAGCCTGTGGCTGAAGCAGTTGCGAATGGGAAAGGGAAAAGCCTTCTGAAAGAATTACTTCATGTGAAATCTGAAGAGTCTTTGTCCTAATTCCTGTTTGTGTCAGGAAATCTGTCCTGAGGGCAAGCTTGCACAAGTTTCACTGAGTGTCCTTCACAAGGCTAGCATACTGATAATTAGAAAAACTGGAAGCTATTTCCATGGGAGTGTACTGTTGACTTGTGAAAAGGGGCAGCTTTCTCTTACTCCAGCAGATTCCAGAGGGAAACAACGCCTGCATTTGTTGCTCTGACTCTCTTTTGCACAGAACCTCGTGGAACTGACACAGCTTCCTGGCCTAGAAGAGGACAAGAACTTCCAAAAAGAGATTGGATTGAAGACGCTTGTGTACAAAGCTTACAGGTGACTGAGAAGCAGCCAGGTTTTCCTTAGCAGACGTTACATCTTCAAGGTTTATTATTGCAAAGCTCTATGTGCTGTACAGGGCTTTGATGCAGTTTCCTCTGCCCTTCTGTGAAATGAAGACTGGATGCTAAGGGGAAACTGGCCAGTGCTTCTTAATAATATCTTCTCTTATCAGTCATTTGAGTTGGCAAATGGGTGACAAACACATCAGTGAGCCAGTCTTTGCTGTTGCAGGTGTTTCTTCATTGCGCAGTCCTATGTCCTGGTAAAGAAATGGAGTGAAGCCCTTGTTTTATATGAAAGAGTGCTGAAATATGCCCGCGAAGTTCAGTCCGGAGCTGGAGCTTATACGAACAGCTTGAAGGTAGGAACCCAATCCTGTGTGTGGAAGGGAGCTGAAATTTAAAAAAAACCTCCGTCCCAGCATTTATTGTCAATTAGATGCTAGACCATTACAGTTCAAGGCTGATGTTTGAGTAGGGAGAAGGGTGATACAAGCGTGACTGCTTGACACATTATAGTAGAGACTGTCTAGTGAGGTGAAAATGCTTTAGCTGGCCACTTGCTGTAACAGCTCCGTAACAACTCCCCACACTTTCTCACATCTGCACTTTCTGTCGTACCGCTTCTGTAGCGCCCGAAGGACTGTACTGTAGCCTTTCCTCGTCTGGGAAGGCTTATTGGCACTAGGACTTAATTTCTTAGTTCTTACTTTGTCAGGTTTTACCTTTGCCCTGACTCTTAAACTCTGGCACATTTCAGGCTCTCAAATAATTTTCTTTAATGCCCTAGGAGCTGCCTGATGTTCAGGAGCTGATCACTCAAGTCAACGCAGAGAAATACTCCTTGCAAGCAGCAGCTATATTAGGTGAGTTGCACAATTATACTAGAGCTCTAACGTCTCTTGAATAATGCCCCTGCAGCTATTTCATTCCTTTTATTTCATTTCTGAAGCTCCAAATGTTTTTCCACTTCACTCTGATCTCCGTAGGCCCTGGAAAACGTTCCCCCCCCCCCCCCCCCCCGCTCAGTGTTTTTTTC